GCTCTGTAGACCAGGCTGGTCTCAAACTCACAGAGATCCCCCTGCCTCTTGAGTGCTGGGATTAAAGGCATGTGCCACCAACGCCCGGCTATTTTTATATCATCTAGGTGGTTACCTACATGACACTTAGGATAAATTTTAGTCTGATAGCATGTCATTTAAATTACTTGCTGACTTGGTGAGCTTATTATTTTTGTTATCTTTAGTTAGAATAGTTCAATGTTTTAGTTCTGTGTGTAGCCTCCATCCTAGCGAAGAGTCCTTAGGACACTTGCCCTCCAAAGTGACATCTCAGCATAGGCTCGGGCTTAGGAAGAGGGGTGGTTGGCACCCAGTATGCTGAATCTCTGTGGAGGAGCAGTGTGCATACATGCACATTGATTCAGAACCTCATGTAATCATAGTGAGTTGGCTTTGAACTCACAATGTAGCCAAGAATGACCTAGAACTCCTGATCCTCCTGCCTCTTACTCCCTAGTGTTGGGGTCACAGGCAATGCTACCATGCCTGCTAATAAATGTTTTTGCTGTACCATGAAACAGATTTCAGACACGAGTTGAAATGCTTTCTGCATTACTAATTTTTTTTCTGCCCTGGTCAGATTTCCTAGCTTGTTCACATTCGTGTGACTAGTTGAGGAGTTGATGGCACCAGGTCTTTCAGCTTAAGTTCTCTGAGGGGGACTGAAGTACCTGGTGCCATCTTTTGCTCACAATCTCTGCTGTATAATCTGTTTATTTACTCAGAAGCTGTACGACAGTTTTCCCAGTTTCAGTTCCTGGCTCTCTCTCAACATAGCCCCTTCTTCGAATTTCCTTAATTATTACGTTTTATTTAGACTAGGCCATTTTCTACCTTAAGCAAATTGTCAAGATGTGAGTATTCTGTTTCAGAATGGATTTTAATTTCTGAGTGAATTTATGGGAGAACAATGCCATTGCTGACTTCCTAAACTCATTTTATAGTGGTGTAAACTGCTGGACGAAGCCAACAGGACTCTTGGCTGATGTTGATATGTGCACTCATTTTGCATTTGGTGTTTTCCTCATCAGGGAGAAAGTAGACAATGACTATAATGCTCTTCAGGAGAGACTGAGAACCTTGCCTGACAAGTTGTCCTACGACGTCATGGTATGTGTCCTACGACGTCATGGTATGTGTCCTACGACGTCATGGTATGCTTTCTGTATTTCTTTTAGCGTCACACGGTGCTTGTTGTAGACAGTCTAATGACAAAATGATAGGATGTCCCCTGCTGTGTTTGTCAGTTCACAGACTGTCAGCTGACACACTGTCAAGAGTGACTCCATAATAAGGAAAGTTTGCTTTGTTAGGCCTTAAAACAAAAATAATAGTTATTTGTGTGTAATTATTGTGATATAATGACATATTAGCAAAAATCTGACATGTTTGGCATACAAATACATTTTTATATATACTATAATTATGATAGGAATACGACATTAAGTTATTTCCTGTTATCAAGAGCAAGAATAAGCCATAATGTCTGGTAACTCACAGAATTAAAACCCAGAACAGTGAGTCAGGTAACTCACAAAATTAAAATCCAAAACAGTGATTTTTTTTTTTTTTTTTTTTTTATGAGAGGTTCTGCTACTAGTTTTTTGAATGACCTTTTCTCATGACACATAGTCTGTCCCTAGCCTTTGTCTGCAGCCTCAGTGTGCGTCATGAGGGCTTATTGTGTTGTTCTAGATCAAGTATGGGTAGGTAGATGGCAATACAACTCTTAATTCCTACCTTACAAACATAGTTTTAGTTATACTGACAACAGTTTTCATTACTGTTTAGCTTCACTGAGACTTTAGAATGAATGAAATGTGTAAACATACAGAGATGGCACTACTGTCTTCCAATAGCTGTCATGGAAATAGTCTGTGTATTTATTTCCCCTCTTTTAGTGTGGATTTATTGGCCTAGGACCATTTTCTATAGATTTTCTTGGTTAAATTTCAATATGATGCTAAACTTCTGTGAAATTGACATTTTATTTTTCCTAGTGCATAGGTAAGAATTCAGTAATGTAGTGTTTCTTATGCTAAGTATTTTTAAAAATGTATGTTTAAAATTGTTGCCTTCCTCTTTCTTTTTTAACCAATAGGTACCATTTGGCCCTCTTGCCTTCATGCCAGGAAAACTTGTCCACACTAATGAAGTCACTGTTTTACTTGGGGACAACTGGTTTGCAAAGTGCTCAGCAAAGCAGGCTGTGGGTTTAGTTGAGCACCGGAAAGAACGTAGGTACCTCTTGTGAAGATGTTCTCTGTTGTGTGTGTGTCAGCTTGTAGGCTCCAGAGCTGGGGACGGATTTGTTAGTCTAGACATTGGCTGTTCTGGATTATAGGTAATCTAAGGAAAAGCAGTGTTGGAGAATGGTGGATGGAGTGATGCAGGTTGGAATACTTCCCACTTGCCATGCCATGTTTCCAAAGGTATCACGTGGGAGCCCCAGGCATTACATTGTTCTGTGGACAGATCTTGAGACAGGAGTTGGGGACATTTTAACTTGTAATTGGTGTGTTGTTGCTTCATATACTTCTTCTTTTAATACTCTGGAGCCTGGGAGTAGTTTATTTTCTTTGTCATGAAATCAGAGAAATTCCTCTTTATAAAAGTTAGGAAGTTTGATGGGCGGTGGTTGCCCATGTCTTTAACCCCAGCACTTGAGAGGCAGAGGCAGGAGGATCTCAGAGTTCAAGGCCAGCCTGGTCTACAGATCGAGTTCCAGGACAGGCTCCAAAGCTACACAGAGAAACCCTGTCTCAAAAAAACAAAAACAAAAGCAACCAAAAAGGTTAGGAAGCCTTTTATTTATTTATTTATTTATTTATTTATTTATTTATTTATTTATTTATTTATTTATTTATTTATTTATTTATTTATTTATTTATTTATTTATTTATTTATTTATTTATTTATTTATTTATTTATTTATTTATTTATTTATTTATTTATTTCTAGTTAGGTAACAAGCTTGTTTCACATGTAAGTCCCTTCTCCCTCTCCCTCCCCT